TCTACATGTTTCGACGTTACAACGTCATCCTTATGATTTTAACTTTATACACAAGTGCCAAAATACTATAACTATAATGCTGGTAAAGGTATTACACGTAAACTCTGGGATTTCTATACATTTCAGTTGATTCAAGAAAAATTAACAGCTGTTCAGATAAGTAGTTAATTACCTACTGGAGACAAAAGAATGAAACTGTTTTAGGGTTACAACATGTATTATTTAATTTTTAGATTTATGATATTAGTGATTTTTTTCTTTTGGTTTAAAAAATATTCTTATGAAAACTTTATCTTATAAATCGTTATGTTTTTGGACGTTTCAGCTAAAGAAAATCTTGTTTTATATATAATAGTGATAACCTTTTTATTTATTCAAATTTGAAATTATTTATACCGCACATCAACTCTATAAATCTTATACTACATATTCTAGAATGTTTTTAAGTTTCTAAATTCGTAAACGCCAAGGAAGCTGTACGAAATTGTATTTACTTTCATATTCATTTTACGTTATGTCAGATTCTGGAGAATATTCCTACTTTGAGCTGGATCGACATTCCGGAAAGATCACCATTAAAAAAGCAATACCTCAGACCCTACCTCTCCCCATGACGCTGGTTATTAAAGCCACACAACTGGACAATAAAGACAGGTATTCTATAACTACGTTAACGGTGATCTCTGACCAAAAAGTACCTAGCGTCCTCAGGTTTTTGCAGACCAATTACGTCACGACCGTGTTGGAAAATACCCCGCCTGGTGCCAGAATTGTGACTTTCCAAATATCAAAATATTCAAAGGTAGTATTTTTTCCCCTCTTATGTAATTTGACTATTACAAGTCAATGGGTCTTAGTTTAACACTAGGCCATATTTTGATGGATATTCTTAGAGATTTTATAGAAATCAAATGTGTTCGGAGTGAAAATGATTGAATATCTGAATAAACACGTGTTTATTTGAAATAAACCTACGTCAGTAAAAGTACCTTTCAATTACAAAGATTAACAAGTTTGGCAACTTACACACAGTGATGCAATACTGACGTAGCATTATCACGTGATATCACTGTCCAAAGTTCATTGTTTTATCTGCTCACAGTTTCCAAAGAAAATAAACACATAAAAAACTTTGATAACTAGAGGGGCATTCAGTAGAACGCATACCTCCGTAACACAGCAGTGATTACATTCGGCTCTCAAAAAATACGAAAATGTGTCCGTACGTCCGTCGTTGTAAACGAACACGAACCATTTTTGGCAGGACAATGAGGAGTAATATTCTACATGCGTCCACCAAGTTTCGTTAAAATCCGATCATTTCTGACTGAATTGTAGAGAAAAAAATAGTTTGACAGATAGGGATTTTTTGTTATTTTTGTGACCTTGCTGTGACCTTTGAAAATGACCCTCAAAAACTAATCACTTCTAAGTTGGGTTATAGTTCAAACGTATACCAATTTTAATCCGTATTCAATCAGCAGTTTTCGAGAAATCTTGCTGACAAACAAATACACACACACACACACACAAACAGGGGTGAAAATATAACCTCTGTCCCCCTTCGGTGTCAGAGGTAACTAGTTGTGCAAAAATGAAAAGCGTGAGTAAGAAAATGATCTTCCTTACGATTTATCAACTGGTAGTTGATTTAGTAAATTAACATAATTAAGTATTCTCGATAATGAACAGGAGTGACAAAATCTGACTCTTGTGACTAAACTTAATCATCCTTTGATTGTGTTTTTTTTCTTAGTTAAATTCTTTGTATGAATTCGGTGAGGGAAATGAATTTTAGTTTAAAGTTTTGGTATATAATAGAATACGTTTCAGAAACGAAAGTCACATATCTGTATTAAGTACTCACAAATCAGTGTTAAGTACTCGAAAATCAGTATCAAGTACTCAGAAATCTATATTAAATCCTCACAAATCAACATTAAGTATTCAGAAATATGTAATAAGTACTCAGAAATCAGTATTTTAGGTACTCAGGAGACAGTATTAAGTACTCAGAAATATGTAATAAGTACTCAAAAATCAGTATTTTAGGTACTCAGGAGTCAGTATTAAGTACTCAGAAATATGTAATAAGTACTCAAAAATCAGTATTTTAGGTACTCAGGAGACAGTATTAAGTACTTAGAAATATGTAATAAGTACTCAGAAATCAGTATTTTAGGTACTCAGGAGTCAGTATTAAGTACTTACAAATCTGTTTTAAGCAGCTTTTTGTTGTTGAATTCGTGAAAAAAACAGTCATAAGTTTGGAAATCAGGTGGGTGAAACTAGAACAGTTCGTATAAACTTAAAATGTACATTTTCTTACAAAGCTCACTAACTTTCTTCTGTATTTGTATTGTTTAGGACGTTCAGTTCACGCTTTTCAATGATCCAGATGAAAATTTTTCTGTGAGATACACGTGAGTTAAATCATTACTTTTTATATGTAATCTTAAAAGCTTTATTTTTCTTTTGTAAACTGTGTATTAGTGTTTATTTGTTTTGAATAATATCATTTTTCCCCAAGTTCTAGAGCGCCATCTATTTCTTATAATTTTTGAGTAACGCAGTTTTGTATTCCTATGCTTTCGTGAGTTTCAGATAATACGTGCATATTCCTGTTTTATTGCACCTAAGAGTATAATGTTTAATTAGCATTTATCTTACCTTATCTGTCTTGAATGTAGAGGAGAAATCGTCATTGCTAAGCCTTTGGACTTTGAACGTCAACAAGAATTTGTTCTTGATGTAATGGTCTCTGATGGTAACCAGGTTAGTTTGGTATTGTTTTTGTTCTTGGTTTTCTGATCATTCGTGTTCATGTAGTCGCTGCTTGTAATTCGTAAAAGATGGCCTTTTACAGTAACTAGTATTTTATTTTTTAACTCCATAAAAGTAAAATATTTGTAGGTGGTGGATTAGGTAAACCGGTCCACCGAGAAGTTTTAAACATTTACAGGTGTCAGACTTTCCTACGTTTTGAACTAATAATCAGACAGATGATTTCCTAAAGCGTCTCAACATTGCGCAAGTGTCAGACTCTCCTATATTTTGAAGCAATAAAACGTGGACTCACTTAACAGCCTCAACACTCCAAGTGTCAAGATTCGTTGTATCTTGAAGTAATAAACAGACTCACAAAAATGTCTCAAATTTGCAGGCGCTGAACATTGTTCTCGGACAGACAGATAGAATGTTCTTCTGTTTGTGTTTATCATAATAATAGGATTATTTAAATATTTGCACGTATCTAAAGGAACAGTTAAGACAGTACACGAATACATTTCAAAATGTTGTATCATGTATGATTTGAGTCTCTTAACATGAGAATATTTAAACATTAATAACTTCTAGGACAGTATTCGACGTATATAAACTGTTATACATATACTAGACATAAATATTCTGTTTAACAATACTCTACTTACACATACTGTGTAACAATACTCGACTTACATATACTGTGTAACAATACTCGACTTATATATACTGTTTAACAATACTCTACTTACATATACTGTGTAACAATACTCGACTTACATATACTGTGTAACAATACTAGACTTATATATACTGTGTAACAATACTAGACTTATATACTGTGTAACAATACTCTACTTACATATACTGTGTAACAATACTCGACTTACATATACTGTGTAACAATACTAGACTTATATATTGTGTAACAATACTCTACTTACATATACTGTGTAACAATACTCGACTTACATATACTGTGTAACAATACTCGACTT